ACTCTTTGAATGCCCTCCCTAATACCGTATGTGTCAAGTCTCCTAAACTCAAATTTAGTAAAAATTTCCCTCTTTACCCTAGAATGTGAGTCTCACCCTCCTGGGGCCCCAGGGGCTTTGTGTACAGCTGACAATTCTGGGAAATCATTGTGTATTAGATGTATTAAATGTCTGCACATCTGTCTTCCCCCTATGCTGTGGGCTCCTCGAGGCAAGGCAGAATCTTCTTCATTCTCAACCCATGAAACTCCAACGGCCAGTGCAGCTCCAAGCACATTGCTGAGGCTCAATAAATTCACAACACGGAAGGGAGACAGGAGGAAAGGAGGAGTAGAAATTTCCTCTCATTCTCCTGCCCTGACCTAAGATGACTCTGGGTCAGAGGGAAGGCACATGGTGGGTGGTGTGGAGGAGGGGCACCCCCAAAAGTGGGCTGTGTGAGGTGTGACAGCAGGTGTACACTTGAGCTACTAGCTGCCCAGCACACACAAGCTGCTTTCTTTCTCCCACACAATTCCAGAAATGTCTTCTTTTAACATACACCAAAGATACATACAAATTTAATTATATCCTACTCCCCTCCCTCGGGAGACCACCCAAGGACCTATCCAGCTCTGGCAGGTACAGGTGATGCCATGATGCCATTGTCCTTCAGTGTGGGATCTTCAGGGGGTGCCTGTCTTAGATATTCTGCCACCTCAGGACCAGATGGCAATCTCATCCTCAACCCCACCTCCTCTGAAGTTCAATGTCTAGGGAGTAGGGGAGCAAGAGAAGGAAACTTTCTTTTCAAATTATAATTCTCATTTTAAAGGAAAAAAATGAGAGTGTTGCAGGAATGCTCACATCATTTGCTTCGAAGCAGCAAAGAAAATGCCGATGGAAGTATTTTGCTTGTTTCTGCAAGTAACCTTGAGGCACTGGCGCTTGTGACTCCCCTTCCCCACTGCCCATGCACGTGGGCCTGGCTCTTGACCATCATCATGGCTGCTGCATGGTTTACCAAATCCTATTTCCAGGCCCTTCTCTTTCTCTATAAACTAGTGCAAGTGGTTTAGTTTTGTAATTTTCTTTGTGGAAAAAAAAAAAGCCTTCAACCACTGAGGATCAATTCAGATTACAATTTTTATTTACCACCTGGATGGCAATTACATTGGAGTCCACTCAAACGAATGTACTGAAGAAATGAACTCATAAAAATATAGTGTGTGTGGGTAGCGGGAGTTAAATGACAGCTTATTGTTCTTTATCAGTAAGTGATTCTCGGCAGCTTCTGAAATGGAAACGGGCACTCAAGAGTCTGGGAAGGGAAGCCACCCATGTGCCGACAGAAAAACCTGACCTGAGTTGGGGGCACATCAGAACACGTGCAGTTTCCAAATAATCACCTTCTCCGGGGGAGGAGAACGGTGCCCAATAAGTCAAATAGATCATTCTTCTCTCAGTAAAGGGTTCATTTGACCATAACATCAGTCAGCTCGTTTGTCAAGCCAGAGAGAAGCTTATCTAAACAGAACAAATAAAAACGGCTGGGGTGGGCAAACCAGAAAAAGAGAATGTATCTTTAAACGGATTTTAAAAGAGCAAAATGTGATTTCAAGAAAAAGCATGTTCAGGACGTTAGAGCATCTTCGCCTTCTCTGGCCCTTCTAAGCAATTTCACTCGGACCAGCCAACCTCACACGCACGTGTGAGGGCTCCTGGGAGGAACAAACACTTCTGACTCAGCAGCTGGCCTGTTCCAGGAAGGAGAACACTCGCTGGGCTGGGGGAGAAAGCTGTACTGTGAAACCCAGAACAAGGATGATTTTCAACCAAAGTTGGAATCTCATTTTCAAGTGGCAACTAATTTATTCACACATAAGCGGAGAACAAAGTCTATTTGAATTCTCAGGGGAGTCACTTTTTGTGGAGAAAATGGGCTTCCTATAAAATAATTTCCATTTGGATCCACAAAGTCTAAGATTAAACTCTTCGGAGGACGGAAGATAGTCACATGAGTTTTGCCTCATGACAAAAGGATAATTTTTTTTCCAGAAGCGTTTGTTCAATACACGTGTCCAGTCTCCCCAACAGCATGGCAGGTGGCACCTAAGCTGGAGAAGTCCAACCGAGACCCAAGGACCCCAGCTTTGACAAAATGAGACATGACTTCTTCTATCGTGGTGGCTTGATTTATACAAAGTGGCTTTAAGAAGTGTGCCCCCCTTTATCTCACACACACACACACAGCCCTAGAGATTCACATAGTTATTTTAATGTGAATGCTTTGCTCTTGGGTCTGCTAACATGGCAAACAAAAATTTATAGTAACTGGCCATTATTTGTTGAGGATTTAATTTATGATCTACTGTGTTTTAAGATCTACTTACATTGTTTGATTTAAATAATTAAAATCTACAATGCCAAGAGGGCTTGGGCAGGGTGAGCGTGAGTACGTGGCCTTGTTCTGAGATGATATGCAGGCACTGGCTGGCAAGCGGAGGTGATGATACATGATCAGTGATCTTCTGTGCCGACTATTAGTTCCATGTGTTAGGAACCATGCCCAGTGCTTTACAGGTATTATCTTATTTCTTTCTTTCAACTACCATGAGTAAATATTAGAGAAGATAAGTGATTGCCCAAAGTCCCAAAGCTACAAGTAAGTGATGAGGGCCAAAGCTCCTGCTCTTAACCATAACTTATTTCTTCCCGTTGGGCCTACAAATAAGAGCAGCTCCCACATTTTCTATGATCTATTAACTTTTTCGTGCTTTCAGATGTACATGCACTTTGCTTACATGCTCCCTGATTTCATGAACTTCTCTCTAGAGCAGTGGCCCTTCCTAATGCTGTGGCCCTTTAATACAGCTCTTGTGGGTCATGACCCACAGGTTGAGAACTGCTGTTCTAGAAGTTAAATGTTATGTCTGCTTTGCTATCAGTTTGCAAGACCTTCCTTGTACAACTAAAGTTGAAGTAATCTGAATGGCAAATGTCATACTTCAGATACCATCTTGTTACATCAAAATTAACTCTGAGGACACAGCAGCTGCCTTAAATTGAGAACATCAGGGTGTTGGTAGTAAAAACACCATCGCTGCTACCATGAACCCTCCATCATTAACAGCAGTTACCACTGACTGAGCGTCATCTACATGGGTGGACCATGACTCTGTAATATACATAATCCCTAAACTTTACAATTTGCCAATAATCAGGGAGTGTCATCCTCATTGTACTTTTGGGCATCAAGTGGACCCCAACCCGGGACAGTGGTCAGCAAGGGAGATGGTGCTGAGGAAATAATGAAACCTACACCAAACTTAGTGCATAGAACTGGGCCTGTAGGGACACACACGGTTCCATGTGCCTGATGGCAGCATGAGGACAGTGCAGCACTGTCCTGTTTCCCGGAATCTTTTTCTTGGCTACATAACAGAGTATAAGGACAAGGACACACAGCAGTCAAGGTCAAAAATGAGAGAGGGGAGATTACAGCCCCCAGGAAGGTTGGGTTAAAGGTAAACAGCACATAAGTAATGGATTGTCTGAAGTGGCGGATAATGGTGCAACCAGAAGAGAGGGGGGATAGTAAGTCTCATCTCAGGCAGACAGCTCAGCTTCTCCAGCATAAGCTACTAGTTGATGGTCTCAGCTGCCAGCACTGCTGACCCCACGCAGGGAGAATCACTCCTGACTGGGCCCTCTACCCTGAATTGGAAGGTTTGTGAGGAATTCAGCCTGTCTGTCTCTCACATCTTATCGTTACAGAAAGCAGAAAGTTAAGTTCAGGATATGAAAGAATATTTTGATTCCAGATCTTTTAGCTTGAAGTTCACTCTTTTAAGTAGGTGGCCCTCCAGAAGCCAGGTTAAAAATAAACTTTAAAAGTCAAGAGCAGTATCTGAGTTATACTTGGTACCTCTGTGGCAACCTGGGAAGACTCACATGAGACCCCACACACAATAGTATCTAAACTGCGCCAACACAGAAGTCTTCTCACCTATGATTTTGTCATTTTCTAATCCTGATTGCATGATGGCATCAATCAAAAATGTCTGTGAACTGGTGACTTCACCTTTCTTTGTAATATAAAAACGGCCACAGGATTGTAGTGTCTCTGGGTTGGTGACACCATGAGGTCTTTTCAGCTGATCGGTTTCCCTTCTTCCCTTACACGGCTTGGCTTTCTTCTCTAAATGTTGTTTATGTGGAGAGAACTGAGACCATTTTTAATAAAAGCACAGATATACTGAGATGAAGTGATTTAGGAGAAACTGCTAGAAAATGTAGGAAGTTGTCCGTGTCAGTGTTTGACCATATGGGGAGCCAACCGTGTGCGCGTGACCAGTCCACACCTGACTGAGCACCAGATGTCAGATTACGTAAGGCAGCCACACACCAGACAAAGTTATTCAGAATAACAAGTTTTAACACTTTATTTTGATATAATTTTATACTTACACGGGAACTGTAAGAAAAGTTCAAAGAACCCCTGTTTACTCTTTACTCAGATTTACCAAACTTAATATTTTGCCCCATTTGCTTTATCATTAATTCTTTTTTCCTGAACCCCTGGAGAGCATTTTTTTTTTTTGACATTTTGTCCTTTTACCCATAAGTATTTCAGTGTTTATTTCCTAAGAACAAGGGTTTTCTAGGCAATGACATTTTTGATCAAAATATAAAGTTACCACAAAAAAAATAAGAATAAATTTTAAAATATTAAGTATAAAGAAGAATACTTTGCCTTCATTCCTCACAAGAGAGGAAATTTTTTGTCCTATGTTGCTTACTGTGATATTCCTAGGCCTTGCCATAGTGTCTGGTACACAGCAGGTGCTCAATAAGTACTTGTTAAAACAACTTCTTAATGTGGTTATGTGATACTATACTGACTACATTCTGAACAAAGGATGTCTAAACAGGGGTCCTCAAACTTTTTAAACAGGGGGCCAGTTCACTGTCCCTCAGACCGTTGGAGGGCTGGACTGCGGGCCCCAGGAGGAGTCGGCTGCTAAGCAGGACAGGCAGCGGCGGCAAAAACACCCAGCAGGCCGGATAAATGTCCTAGGTGGGCTGCATATGGTCCACAGGCCCTAGTTTGAGAATGCCCGGTCTAAAATCAAGCAAAGGCAATGACAGCCCAATACTGAGTCCCTCCTTTATTCCCTATCACTTGGGATTTGGGAGTTATGAAGAAGGAAAAGCTTCCGATGGGAAGGACTTTTGGGAAATGACCTTTTCAAGATGAGACACAACATCTTCTAACCTAACGAAACATGACTTCTTGGTCCCGGCAGGGCCGCGTCCCTCTCACAGGTAGCGGTTCCTGATGTACTCGCGGTACATGGCGGTGTCTTCTTTTCCCAGGGGCTGCATGCTACCCTGACTGGCCTGGATGTGGGCCTGGAAGATCTCTGTAGATTTCCTGTCCACTCTCGGGGGCTGAACTTCATAAATGTTGTCTTGCGAGAAAGCTGAGATGGGGGTTCTGCAACAGATGAAAGAAGACAGCTGCGTTAAAGAAAATGCAGTGAGGGGCACATGGAGCTGCTAGTCCTGACAAAGTCGAGGCTGACTCGTGACAAGCAGCCGGGAGTCCTCCCCATGCCCCTGTGTCGGGCAGGTGTCCTCTTCTGCCTGAAGGACAGAGCTGGGCCAGCACCTGCCTGGGAAGCCTCCCTGTCCCCCAGCCCCACGTACCCTCCGCTGTGCTCCCATCTGGCTCCCTCACATGACTGCAAGGAAGCTGAGATGGGCGCTGTGCAGACTTGGCTCTGTTTCCTTGGCACAAAGGAAGATTTAAAGGCGGGGATTACTGACAATTCCAACCACATGGCTGTTGAGGAGTAAATGAGTTCATGTGTAAAGTGCTCGCTTAGTGCAGTGTCTGCACACTCTGAGTGCTCAGTAAACGGGAGTGTTGTGGACAGTTACAGGTGCACAACGCCTTACCTGTAATTCTGAAATCCTAAAAGCCTGAACAGCCAAAAGGTAAATTTTCTGGCCCAACCAAGTTCATTTTATAGTACATCCTCATGAAATGACAGTAATCAGCCCAGTTCATGTGAATATTGGTGTCTCTAATTATTGTACAGGGCTCAGGTCACACTGGGGATGTCACTAAGGGATGGACCCACTTGCTATGCTGGAGCCAATCCTGATTTCTCCAACTCATCTGGCCTTAGGCTTTTGGATGAGGGATTGTAGGTCTGTAATAGGCAGCTTCCTTCCATTAAGGAGTATTTGAAAGTACCTAAGAATCTTTCTATTCAAAAATATCTCTCCATTCCCACTCCACTCAGCCTGCCATAGTCTTGAAATTTCCATCCACCCCTTGGGGAAGGCACTGACTCTAGAAAGATCTCGTCACAATGCAGCTAAGGTGTGTGACATTCTTGGCTGGGGGCAGGCCCTCGAGGGATGATTCACCTGAGTCAGGTGTGACGCAGTGTCTAAGGAGTGTGCATGCCTGGGAAGGTCAAGGTCAGGTGTGACGCAGTGTCTAAGGAGTGTGCATGCCTGGGAAGGTCAAGGTCAGGTGTGACGCAGTGTCTAAGGAGTGTGCACGCCTGGGAAGGTCAAGGCGAGGCCACCAGGGGGAGGCCGGGAAACTAAAAGACATCACCGAGGGCTTGGGGGGCAGAGTGACACTACACTTCACCACATGGCTCAGGGCTAGGCCTGTGAGGATGGGGGGTGCTCCATAACAGGGTACCCAAGATAAAGCCGAGAAAGAAAGTCTAGAGGATCTACCCTGCAGGGTTGGGACCTGAGAGGAATCAGAAGGGCACCCCGATTCCCAGCTGTCTGGATAGCTGGGACCCCGGAAGCTGTGGGAGATTCCCTGAAGTTAGAAGTAGAATTGGATCTTAGACCCAGTGGGGTCTGAACTTAAAATGTCAACATTTCACTGGATGCCAGGAGGTGTAGTGACATACACAGGAAGACATAAATTGCCAAGTAAAGCCCCCCAAAGAGCTCTATCTTCAATTAAATGAAGAATATAATTCTTATTCCCCCGAAAACGGTCAAGGTAGCTCACTAAACTTTGCCTCTATGTAGAACACAGACTGCCCTGAGATGGCTGGAGACTCTACATTAAATTACATTAGAATAACACAGAACTAGACGCAAGCAGGCCGGCCTGTCAGTAAACGAGGCTCTTCAAAGGTCAGCCATAAGGAATCTCAGCTTCTTACAGGTGACTGGGACTTTAAAGATTTTGATAGGAAAGGAGGAAGTGACATTTTAATTATGGACAGAGTATGAGGACGGCAAAACCCGTATCATGTGTGCTTCCCAAACACTTACTTATCGTCAACCTGGCAGGAAGCCATGTCAATGAGACCAACAAGAAGGGCACCAAAAAAAGGTCTGGTAAACACTGAGGCTTTTTTTGGCTAAGCACAAGCAACATCAACAACATGGAAAAATTATTTATAGCACAAAGTACACACTGTCCTTCCTAGATCTCAGAGAAATGTATGCATTTGTAAGGTTGCTGAACCTTCTTTTGTAGATTCACCATCAGGTCTACTAGATGGAAACAGTGTGGCTGTTTGTACACACCCATACGTGCTGTGTATACAGATGTGCTATCTATGTATTATTTATGCTTTATATCCACTAGTATATATGTATACCTACTCTTTAAACACATCCAAGGAAAGGGCCACATACCTATTTCCACCATCCCCACCAAGTGAGGTACATCAAAAGAGTCCATGTGAATTTTTAGAATATCCACCCTACTGTGCAGATTTTGGAACAAAAATATAGTTGATGAGCATATGAGGGCGTGGAGCCACTAAGTCTAGATAACACAATGTAACATTTACCATTACTTAGAGACGAAACATCATCCCCTTAAAATGTGACTGCTTTTATTTTACACTGTTATATAGAAAAGATCAACATGATACATAAGAGCGCCTTAGAGGCTGCTACAAGGTTGTCAGAGTTTGCAGTTGAATTGCTATTACCTCATTGTCATATGTATGTATTAACTGAATATAAAAAACTAACACTTATCCAGTATCTGTCATGGAAAAACTACTGTGCTTTTCATCTTTTTATTGTAAAGTAAAACACAGATATAAGAAACCACACAGAACATGCAGAATTATTATAAGGTAAACATCACACAGGTGAAGAAATGAATTGTGGCAGCCAACTCAGAAGTCCCTTCAAGGTACCTCATTGCATATACACCCCCTTCCCACCTCTTATAAGTGGCCATTATCCTGACTTCTACAGTAATCACTTCTTTGCACTTTTTAAAAAGGATGTTTTCGTTCAAATGTGCATCCCTAGATTCTACAGTCTCACCCCCTCAAAGAGTGCGATAATGCCTTTTAATCTACAGATTCTTTTTCTTTGCCTTACAATTTGTCTATTGAAGGATCTGGGTTGTAGAGGTGCCCTCAGTCTGGATTTTGCTGCCTACACATTCAAGATGCAGTTAAAAATGTTCCCCTGCCCTTTATATTTCTAGAAGGTCAGCCTTGGATCCAGAGGTTTGCTGAGACTCTGCTTCAATCACCTTGGCAAGACCACAGGTGAGTGTGCTGTGTCACCAGGAGGGCCAGAGGGTCTGGCTGATTAGCTCTCCCAAGGTGAACAGGTATTGAGGCCCAATGCCCAGATCCAGTAATTCCCTGGGACTGACAAATGATAACTTGACACTTTGACTTAAATCCTTTTTATGTCTTTCTTCATTCTTTTTCAACTTCAAAGTTTTGCATTTCGGCTCTTTTCGTAATAGTATGTTTCAGGTTTGAACTCTTTCATTGACTTTTCTGACAGGTTTGTCTTCTGTAGGGATGTTATTCTGCTCTGTTCTTCTTTATAACGTTATATGGGATTGGCTTTGATTCTTTTCTGTAGTTCATTATACAATATTAGTTTTCCAGAACCTTCAGGAGGAGGTGTAGTTCAGGCAACTCCCTCTTTGGCTGTTTTAGTAAAGTGTTCAGAACCCTGGCACCTTGCTTGCTGAGACTTCTCCCATGGTTATCTGAACTTTCCTTCATATTCACCGTCACTATCCTGTTCAAGTTTGAGTCCACTGTCCGCCAATTTCTCCTCAAATGGGCCCCCTTCTCATGAAGGGAGCTTTGGCCATTTGGTTTCAAAAGTTTATGCGGCCCTGTGGCCTCAGCTCCTTTCAGAACTGACCGGGAGCTTCTGTGCTCCCTGTTCCTGAATTCAGTGAGATACCTCTGAGTTTCGGCCTCGGTGCTCAGGTCAGCGCACTGAGTTCCAGTGACTGCCTGTGAGCTGGCTGGGCTTCTGTGCTCAGGCCTGTGCCACACGTCACAGTTCCCTCCAGGCCTCCTCCCGTACAAACACTAAAATGCAGATCTGTGATTGTTGGTGGCTTCCCTCCACCACCTGGTTATATTTTCAGTTTGTTAGGTAAGTTTTGTCTCTGGGTATTTGGCTTTGCCTAGTTATTCTGTTTCTGTGCGAGGATTCAGAGAATTAAAAAACAATGCTGCTGCTGTCTCCTTCCAGAACCGCTGAGTATATCTACTTTGAAAAATATGTTTTTCACCGATCACTCAAAGCCCTCAACTCTATAGACCTCTCCTCACCCGGGGCTGCTCTCAGAGATGCTCTTTTCCAGCCCCCTCCCCACCACCGAGGTAGAACCCACCCCCCACCACTGCAGAGGTGCAGGTGGGGCAGCTAGCCACCTTAGCGATGAGAGACCTAGGGGGGTGGGGTGAAATGGTAGAGCTCTTAATCTTGTCGTGTACCTGCAGGTGGCTGATCAGGTATTGCCTACAGAGCAGTGGAAGTACAAGTCTGGTTAAATGTAAAAGATGACTGCCTATCAGCTGTGCTTTTCTTGGGGCTAATGGAAGGCGGCTAGCATCCCAGTGATGCCAAGAGCTTAATGCACAAGGGAGTCTTCCACATGGTGACCTAAGGACCTTACCCCCTACCTGGGCAGGCTGACTGCACCATCTTGCCTGCTTGGATTGGATCACTGCTCAGGATAAACAGCCATTATATGTTTCCTGTACTCTTCCTTCCTGAGGGAGAGTGACCACCGGATGTTGGGAGCAGACAGCCTTCTGTTACAAGAAGCTGCATCTGAACCTGATGACAAGAGGGACACATACTCAAGGATCCTGGATGTTGAGTGGGATGTAGTGACTCACGGCGGAAGGAGTGGGTTGTATATGTAGACGAAGAGTGTGCCTGGACAGCGGGGTGGCCAGAGGGCAGGCTGCGACCCACGGCTGGGATTACACTCCTTAAGGGCCACGTGTCCCCCCCTTCCAGTGTGCAGAGGGGGAGAAGCACAATCCAATATCCAGACTCTCTTGAAATTTGGCTTCTAAATATGATTCAGGTTCTACCTGCCACCGTACTCACATGGTGCTTTGATACGGAACTGAGTCGTGTGGAAAGAAGCTGCTGTAGTAGGGGATCCGTTTCGCAGCTGTGATGAAGGTAACAGTGTCAAGTTGGTCACTG